TCTTTCATGTAAACCATTTAATCCAGTCATTTTTTATGTATGTTAACATTTAGAATTCCTTGAGCTTAGAGTCTTGTTTTGCTTTTCTTAATTTTTCCTTTGGATCCCAGAACCATCTGGTCTCAGGTGGTGTGTGGAGGAGATATTCTGGTTTTTGTTCCCAAGCCCTATATCTGTTATTTTCTAGCCAAAATGACTTAAGGGAAATTCCTCAGGATGCTTTAGCTTCCTATAGTGAATTTGGAAGTGAGTCATCCCTATTGTTTTTGTTGAGTCAAATTGTGACTCTTAGAATTCCTGACCTTGACAAGTTAGAATATTTATGAAAAGGAATATATAAATTACATTGATCTTATTTTTTGTGTTTAGATATATCCTTCAGAGTTTGGAAAGGAGAGGATGAAGGAAGAACAAGTTCAAGGACCAGTAGAGTTATCAAATATTCCTGAAGATGCCCCTGAAAAGGACTGGTATTGAGTTACTATAGAATATAAAACTAAACCTTCTGAGGTTTAGTTCATGTCACTAATTTGGAATTCTGGTCACCTTGATGGTTAAGACTAAAGTTTACCCTTGTGCCAAATAGGGACAAAACAGATTGCAAAACAGATTCAAGTCTGTCAGAAGTGGCACATTCTTCCAACATTTTGTGTGTGTATTTATATTTCTGTATTCATGAAAATAATTATTGTAGTGTTTGAAAAATATTTTCATGATTAAACTGACTTAGAGTTCTTTACATCATTGCTGTGAATTAATAAGTTTTGCTTTTTGTATGAGGTGTCACTTTCCATTTAAGTGGCATTGAAGCATTCTTTACCTTCAAATTATATAATTTTCTTATTTGAGAGTTAAATAGAAAAATAATGATAAAATGTTCTTTATCATCATGGTGCAGTATAGAAAATAAGATAGTTTAGTTTTAAGCCACTAGGTGGAGCTATTTGTGCACTTAATAAAAAGGGTTAAATTGGTGGCAGAAGAGGGCAGATGAAGACCTTTAAAAAATGTGTTGTAGTTAAGTGAAATTAAACCTTTTAGACTTGACAGCACTGGAATCTGGAAAAAACAGTTTGCAATGTCTTTGTAATTAGAACTAATGCTTTCCCAGCATGTTTTATAATACAGTGATCCTCTCCAGTGGTTTTACTTGAGAAGGCTATATGTGGTAGCAAAACAAGCAAAATAACTATTCTAAGAAATAAAATTATAGATAAGCACATAAAATTCTCACACTTTCCTTTTCCAGATATTTAACTCTAATCCAAATACCTGTACCTTGTCAGAATAATAAACTGAACTTAAGTATTTAATGTTCATAGAGGCTAAGTCATGAAGGAAAAATGGCCTAGAATGAAGGACAGCTTGTAATGTATTTTTCTTGAAACAGTTTATTTTTGTGTTTCTATGTAAGTAAGCTTAATGAGTTTTTCCCACTTTAGGGCCTCTAGAGAAAAATTGAGAGATTATCAGTTCAAACGACTGAAATACTATTATGCAGTAGTAGACTGTGATTCTCCTGAAACAGCCAGTAAAATTTATGAGGATTGTGATGGCCTGGAATTTGAAAGTAGTTGTTCCTTCATAGATCTAAGGTAATCTGGTCTTACCAATTTAATCTTATAGCATAATGTGATTATAAGACATAAAATATTTGAACTGGTAGTGCTCTCTGTTTTGTATTCTAAAAGTACTTTTTGATGATGAACTCTGTCCCGTGGAGCATCACTCCTAAGAAATAAAATGAATGAGATGTACGAGTCATCCCCACGTTTTTGTCCTTTCAAACATGTTGGCTGTGTTCTTAAGATGATGTGTCATATGCAGTGATACTTCCTTACAACTCTTTTTAGCACTAGGAACCAGATGAAGTAACTTTTAAAAAGACATGAGGTGGGGGCAGAGGAATTTGCTAATAGACTGGGTGTCTCCAGTGTACTGGATCCATGCCACCCTATACAGTAGCCTCTAGTCACATCTCGTTATTTTAATGTATTTAATGTTAAGTAAAATTAAAAATTCAGTTGCATAGTTACATTAGACACATTTCAAGTAATTAATGGTCACATTTTGGACAGCACATACAGAACATTGCCCTCATCACAGAAAGTTTTATTGAACAGCGCTGCTCTAACTGCTGTTTCAGGGGATGAATGGTATTGGTGGCATTGTCTTCAGACTTGGGCATTATTTTCACCATGTGCTCAGGCTTTCCTGAACCAGAGCTAAAAACCGTAGGTGGTTGTGAATGTCAGTTCTAAGAAAACAGGAAGCTGAACTACTCTACCATTTTATCATTGGCCTAGTCTTTTTGAACCCAGTAAACCATTCTATTGTGACATTTTCAATAGAATTCACTTCTTTAGATCCAACTTTGTTACAGGCTTTGTTCTCAAAATGAAATATTTCAGAAAAAGATGCATGATTTCATAGTCTCTATGGCTTTCATGCTTCAAAGATATTCAGACTGGTAGAAAAATACAAAGAAATATTTTGAATTGTTAATTTGGGGTAAGATTTTAGCATGCTGTGGTATATAGCAGAAATGGGATGATCACGACAGGCAAGGTATTTACTTCTCTTTTAACAATTTCAATAGGACGTTATTGTTTTGAATGTTTAAATAGTAGTTACCAAACATTTGTTTGAATGTCAAACTCTTGGGATTTTATGAATTCACATTAACTTGTTCTTTTCATGATCATTTTGTTCTTTGTTTCCTTTTTGGTACATTTTCTTGCAGTGTTAGCATAAGCTCTGACAGTGCCTAGAAAATAAGGTCGGTGACCATGAAAAAAGTTTACATTCCCTGTTTTATTTTGTCATACATAACATCAGAAAAGAAAATTGAGTTTCTTACTGCCATCCAGTTATCTAAGGAAACCTTTTTCCCTCTATCCCAAATATATATTAAAGCAAGCATATGGGATAGTGTTTAAAAATATTGATCTCAGGCCAATATTTTCTTCTAAGTCTATGTATGAGTGTATCTGGAGGAAACTTTTATTTAACCTAATGAACCTTAGTTATCCATTCTCCCCCCAAAAGTATTTTTGATAAAATATATAGCATATGCTTTTCGTGTGGGTATTTAAACAGAAATCTGCGTGAATTATAAAACGTAGATTATTTAACTCAACTCTTTTTTCCATTCCCTAGCCTGATGGCTAAAAGTTATCAAATAGTTACAGTGGCTAATTTACATTTAACAGCTAGTTATTTGTGAAATGGAAATTGCAAGATAATATGGTTAAGATTTTTTAGTCTTGAAGAATGAACCTTAAGCTTTTCCTTATTTTCAGTGACACCTCATGTATACGGTAATTTGCATTCAGAATGCTTACTTGTTGATAATTCTGTTTGATCTTCAAAATACCATATAGCCAGTGACTGTGCTACAGGAGTCTTTTTGAAACATGAGGGACCCACATGTGCTTGCACCTGACGCACATTAACTGACTCCTAATGCAGGTTTTCTATCTATACAGCATTCGCTCAAATTCAGTGGAATTATAGATTTATAGCTTATGAATTTCAAAAATTTTATGCCAAGGTTATTTCTAACATTATTTGCCTCTTCTATTCATGTGTTCTATACAAACTTTTATATGGTATGTATATATAAGCTACAACTAATTAGATGAGAATCTAAACTCTGGTTATTTATCACTGTAGCATATGTTTAAGTAAATTTATTTTTTCTTTGCGTCTTAGGTTTATACCAGATAATATTACTTTTGATGATGAGCCCAAAGATGTAGCCTCAGAAGTGGATCTAACAACATATAAACCAAAATATTTCACATCTGCTGCAATGGGAACGTCAACGGTATTTCTTAACTTTTAAAAATGTGTACCCTCTATTGCTTTAAAAAGAGATTTTGTGTATTATTTTCTTATAGCATCTTTAGAAATGGAAAGTATTCAAAATTTAAATGCGCAAGTACAAATAGAAATGAGACACAGCTGTGTTTGCATTTTTATCTACCACATCTGTTTGAACCTATTTTCAGATTCCTTTTATAGCTTTAAGCCTAAGTCACTTACCTTCTAATGTTTATTTTTTTCTCTTCTATCTTTCACACACACTTATTCAACTAGGTTCGTTAGTAAGTAATATATCAGTTATTAACATCCTAGCAAATATCTCAAGTCACAGTTAAAGCTCGTGAAAATTTAAAATAGGAGCACATTTTTCTGTATATATAATCCAAAATTATAAAAACAAATGATGTAGAATAATTTAGGACTAATAGAAGTGACATTAATGCTTAATAACAAACAGCCAAAGAGTTTTTATCTGTTGAAATAGTTTGTTACTTAGCTGACTGCCTTCTCTCTTTTCTTTTTCCCTGTAAATCTTCTGCCCACAGCTGTACTCTACAGCAGCCACAATGGCTTCTCTCTGGCTTTCCTGTGTGACAAACCACTATGCTCCTCTGAGGAGGGGCTGGTGGCAGAGAGAGATGCTGTATCTGTCACTTGTTGTACTGTGGTGGGCACTGTGTGGCATTAATTAGCTACTGAGTATAGTAAAACCCTACCATTATGTGATAAGTGAAGTCTAAAATATTCAGTCACATAAAATGTAAAGTTATGTTATTTTCAGGACCAAAATAATGACCAGGGCCAGCCCAACCCATCCAGTCAGCCAGTCTGGAGTTCCTGAGTCCTGGCGGTATTACCAACATATGTCCCAGTTCCAGCAGCAGTTTGGTGGTTATCAGCTCAGACTTAATTATCAAAATAGGCATTCTGAATCCTGTGACTACCTGGAACTTCTAAAACAGTAGCAGTGATTTTAAAGATATCTTCATTAATTGATACCTATTTTGCTGTCCTCATCTGGGGAGATTGGCCTGAGAGGGAAAAGAAAAACAAGGATATGGGATCTACCCTGTGATGAAGATAAAACTTCTAGCAGGACCCTATTGAGAATAGGGGCTGTGTAGAGGACAGGGGTCAATCACCAGACCAGTCATGTTATAGATGAATTCATATATCATGGGAGTTTAATGTGCTTTCACCCTCCTGAAATACTAGAATTCCAGGTAAAAGACATGTTTTCACTGATTCATAATAATGGCAACTTTTTCACCAGTACGTTTGCTTATTTTTTTTCACCATAATTAACCCACACACTGATTAATTTTTACTTCCAATAATGGCATACCCTTTATATAGCAGAGAGTTAGGAAGGCAAAGGTGCAAGCTGTTAGAAATGATTCCCTTTTTACAAATAGGATACTCCATTAATTATGCCATTCATGTATTTGTATTAGTGTGTTTTAACTTTTTTTAACTTACTGTTAAACAGCCAAGTTAACTATATAATCTTTAACAATTTTGGGTTGTTTTTTCTTATTTGTTGATGAAAGGTGGAGATCACTTGGGATGAGACTGATCATGAAAGAATTACAACACTCAACAGGAAGTTTAAAAAGGAAGAGCTTTTGGATATGGATTTTCAAGCCTACTTAGCTTCTTCTAGCGAAGATGAAGAGGAGATAGAAGAGGAGCTACAAGGTACTTGTTAATCCTCTAGTGACTTATTAATGGAAGTATGTCTCTATATGTAGCGTAAAGGGGAGAATCAAACAAATTCTCACACTGTCTTCAAAGCATACTCACATGCACAGTATTGTATACACCTGTAGATAGTGATTGAATATTTTTTTAAAAGTATTTTCTTAGCCTGAATTTCTTTAACCATAAACACTTTTTTTAAACCCTGCCCTAACAAGAACAAAAAAGGCCTAGTCTTTTAGACTTGTCCTGATGTGTATAGTTATACAGTCTCTTAGTATAAAACTATACAAATGCTCTATTAACACTTCGCATTTTTTTTTTAGCTAAGGGCTTCTTTTAGATTGATTAAATATTTTTCATCCATTTTTCTCCTCAGGTAGTTTGAAAAGTAGACTCTCAGTTTCTGTGATTACTCTAGAAATTATGACTTGTGCCCTTATTAAATAAAGTCCAGTGGTAATTACTATTTTACTTTCCTGGACAATTTAGGAACCTTTAAACAGCTTTCATGCTGTCATTGTGTTGTAATCCTAACTAATTTTTTAAATCCTACAGAAGGTAATGTTGCTGTTTCATACTGCCCTCATTTGAATTTGCCCACATTTCCCCCATTCCCTGTGCTCTTTCTAAATCTCATACCTCTGGAATCGTTTTCCTTCTGCCTTAAGTACACCCTTGAGAATTTCCTTTAGTGAGTGTCTGATAGTGTCAAACTTTCTTGAGGTTTAATTTGTCTGAGAATGTCTTTACTTGAAAAGGATATTTTCACTGGTAAAAAATTCTGGGTTGGCAGTCCTCTCTACCCCCACCTTGACAATGCTATTCTACTGGCTTCATTGTTGTTTTTGAAAAGTCAGTTGTCAGACTAACTTTTTTCAGTTTTTTTGAGGTTTCTCTGGATTTTTTTTGACTGTTTCTAAAGTTTTCTTGTCTTTCAGTAATTTTACTACAATGTGTCTAAGAGTAGATTTCCTTTTATTTATTGAGCTTGGAGTTTGTTGTTGGGTTTCACTAACTGTGAGTGGTATCTTTCATCAGTTTTGGAATATGAAAACTGATGAAAGCCATTATGATTTCAGATACTGTTTGTCTTCTATCCTTTTGGGACTCAATTAAATATATATTAGATCTTTTCACTCTATCTTACCTGTCTCTACTCTCATATTTTTTATCTATTGTCTCTTTGTACTGCATTCTGGCTAACCTATTTTCCAGTTCACTAATTGTCTTTTCAGTAGTGTTGAGTCTGCTGATAGACCTAGCTATTGAGTTCTTAATCTTGGTTATTGTATTTTTCATTCTAGAAGTTTTATTTGGCTATTTTTCAACTCAGCAATATCACTTTTTGTAGTTTTCTACTCATTGCAGATAGTTTCAACATATTCTTTTATTTCTATAAACCAGGTAAGCATATTTTTTTAATATCCTCTGAGAGTTTCAATGTTTCGTATATTTTCAGTTTTTTTTATTATTTTACAGGATACTTATTTCTCATTTACTTGTGTACCTTGTTAACTTTGTGTGATGAAGGTATCTTTTTTGATCAGGGCAAACTTTAATTTATTTTGGTCATTCTAGAACCACATTACTCCAAGTATTTAGGCCTCAGGTTCTCTGGTTTCTGCCAGTGATACAAGTCTATGTGAGGGCTGGTTTACTTCAGATTGATCATTTCCCTGCAATTATATCCCTTGGGATCCTGTGCAGGGGATACTAGTTGAAATTCCCTCCTTCTGTGGGCCTTTAACTTTTGTCCTCTTGCCCCTGAAACGCTGCTAAAACTGCCATTGAGTTTCACAGCTGTTTCTTCTGTGGCTTAGGAAATAGGAGATGATCTCAGGGGAAAACAGGTATTTAACACTGGGGTCATCCTCTGCTATTACCTTCTTCCTGATTTTGACATGGTAATTCTTCACTACCTTGCCAGTTCTTTGAAACTTTTCTTTCTTTTTTAATTTTTGTGAAGCTTTTAAAAATATCTTTAAAATATTTCATACAACTTTGTCCTCAGTGAAAGGGTTCGTCTGAAGGACCTAGCTTGCCGTTAATGCAATCAGTTCTCAGATTGTTCTTTTCTTTATTAATATTTTTTTTTTGATGATTGAAATGATTAATAGTGTACAAGTGAACTTGAACAACATGGGTTTGAACTCCCTGGGTCCACTTACATGTGGAGATTCTTCCACCTTTGCCACCCCAAGGCAACAAGACCAACCCCTCTTCTTCTTGCTCCTCCTCAGCCTACTCAATGTGAAGATGAAGACCGTTATGATGATCTGCTTCCACTTAGTACATATATTTTCTCTTCTTTATGTTTTTCTTAACATTTCCATTTCTCTAGCTTACTTTATTGTAAGAATTCAATATATAATACATATAACGTAGAAAATATGTGGATCAATTATGTTACCAGTAAGGCTTTTAGTCACCAGTAGTCTATTAGTAGTTAGGTCTGGGGGAGTCAAAAAGTTATATGGGGATTTTCAACCACACAGGGGATTGGTCCCCCTAACCCCCTCGTTGTTCAAGGGTCAACTGTACTGTTAAATTCTATGTGCTCTTTGCTTAAAATAACTCATTTTGTAAAAATAAAGCCCCCAAAACCTTTTTTTTCCTTATATTATATCTGTCTCTGTTTGGAAATTCATTTGCTTTGTTGTAATTTCATGTCAGTTTTTGGTTTTTATTCTCTGCCTACATCTTCATTCTTCTTATCTAATAGAAGAAATCCCAATCATGAAAAACTATGAGTAAGTCATTTAGTGCTAACAGAAAGTGAAGAACCATTAATGTTAAACATAGAGGTGAGTATTTTAGATTAGTAAAAATGAATATTCTTTAATTTACAGAGTAACATTTCTCGTAGCTGTCTTTTTGGTTTTCCTTTTGCATATGTGTTTTTGTAGCCTACATGGCAAATTAAATAATCCTAAAATACTTCTTTACTATTACCATAAGGCTGTTAAACCCTGACTCTCTTAGATCCTGTGATTGGTCTATCAGGTTTTTTTTAGACTACTGAAGATAGTGCTTCGTTTTTCTAAGCTTTTCATAAACCACCACTCTTGAGCGGTATTCCACACATAGAATGGAAAATTATGTTTAATCATTCTAGTTTCTTTGTTCAGACATCTCATAGTAATAAAACCACATAATTGCTTAAATATTTAATAGTCTTTTGAAAATTTATGATTTGCAATGATAGTTAAGTTGAGCATAAAAGTGTTCACATTTTTTTAATGCCTCTGTGGCTGTTGCTTATTAATTTTTTTTGGCATTCTAAAGAATGGGTTGACCATTTTATTTCTTAGTGTACACAGAAC